CTAGTGGATGGATGAATGAAGTACCATTTAAGTTAGGCACAACTTCCAGGTAGCATAAAAAATTAATGGAGTAAAAAAGAGAGACTAGGAAGTGGGACAATTTCTCCCCGTGTCCCTTTGTAATAAAGGGTTAATAACTCTGCGTCATTCCTCCTCAGGCTGTGACGGCGGCTTCCCATACCTCATTGCAGGAAAGTACGCCCAAGATTTCGGGCTGGTGGAAGAGTCGTGCTTCCCCTACACAGGCACTGATTCGCCATGCAAAGTGAAGGAGGACTGCTTTCGCTACTATACGTCCGAGTACCACTATGTGGGCGGTTTCTACGGGGGCTGCAACGAAGCCCTGATGAAGCTTGAGCTGGTTCATCACGGGCCCATGGCAGTTGCTTTTGAAGTCTATGACGACTTCCTGCACTACCACCAGGGGATCTACCACCACACTGGTCTGAAGGACCCTTTCAATCCATTTGAGCTGACGAATCACGCCGTTCTGCTGGTGGGCTATGGCACTGATCCAAAAACTGGGCAGGATTACTGGATTGTTAAAAACAGCTGGGGCACCAGCTGGGGTGAGCAAGGTTACTTCCGGATCCGTAGAGGCACTGATGAGTGTGCAATTGAAAGCATAGCCATGGCAGCCACGCCAATTCCAAAATTGTAGCATGAACCATCCTGCAGTGTATACTGACCACCATCAGTCCTGAAAGGGGATGATTTATTCACAGATTAGTGATTTTTATTGCAGCAGTTTCAGGAGATTACAAATAGATTCCTATGAAGATTTTTGCCTTCAAAATTAAAACTGCCCTTGATTTAATATGCCTTCCCATTAGCCACTAACCTAATTTTTTATAAATACTCAAATAAATGAGTTTGTTTGTTTTTTAAGATGGTGGTGAACTGTGCACTAATGGATTTTGCTAATCATTTCTAGTTCAAATATGCTATATTTTGAATGGTCTATTTGAAAATCTCAAGGAATTACGGCAAGGACTATTAAATTAAAAATATTTTTTTTTGTCAGTGATCAAGTGATATATATTGTGGAATTTATGTGTGTGCATAAAAGAACTTCTACCATTGGCTCCTTTAGTTACATTCAGATTCATTGTGTCACCTATATAAGTTCTTTAAGAAGGAAAAGCATTTGAGGATATTTTAATTTAAAACAAAAATTTATAAAACTTTATGATAGGGGCTATGTTCAAATAATGGCAAGTGAATGCTAACATTATCCACTCTATAGTTGATGAGCCAAAAGTCATAGTAAAAAGAAAATTTTAGGACTTTTGGTCAAAATGTTGATATTGGTTAAATTTTCTTATGGTCTACCTTGAATTTAGAAGTATTGGTTAGCCTTCATTGGGTGAGCAGTAATAGTTAAATTAGTAGAACATTAGCAGTTTAAATTTGGACACACCTTTGGATCTCTAAAGTGTATTTCACAGTGATATGAAACTGCTATGCTGAGTCAACAGATGACATCTATTACAAATAACAGATTAGGCAAAATTAGGCAGCCAAAGCTCTAAAACATACACAAGAACAACAAGTCTTTTGGAAGAGACGGTAAATAGAGATCATGCAATCAAACCTCTCTGCACAGAAAAAGAGACTAAGGCTTAGAAAAGTTCAAGTAACTCAGCTAAGCCACACAGGTGGAAAGTAAGGGAGTCATGAATAGCACCTAGATCGTCTAAGGCCTGTTCTCCTGGAGCAACTGAGACTCTGAACCTCAGCACTTCCCACCAGAGCATCCCAAATCCTCAGGGATATGAGGTGCATACTTGGAAGTTTCCCCTTGACATGTTAAGTCTCAGGGTTTTGTCTTAAACCTCATGTACTCTTTGAATGACGATTGAGCCACTACAATGACACTTTCATTCTCCTTGGACTGAAGTGGCCTTCCAGGAATTTACCAAGTGTTTATAACGTGGGGCTTCTTGGTCTCTTGGGACACTGAGCCATACTTTTGACCTTTTCACCACATAGTGACACAGAACTTCCAGAAGGACTCTAACGACCAGTATTTTCTCTGTTCCTGTTACTGATTCAATGTAATGTTAGTCCTATGTTATGCCTAGCCTTGTCGCTATGTGAAAGTGTAAAAAGAATTTGAAATCAAGATGCATTTATTTTTCACTTAACTTTTTTATAGATACGACCTGTCAGCTTAACAGGTATGACTCTGTTAACATGTACACATGAGCTTGTCCTCTGGGTTTCGACAGCAGTTAGCGGATGCATAAGAGAGCAAGTCATGAAGATGCAGAGTGCCCATGGTTTTACACAATTTTCTGAGGGCCCTTAACCCCACAGGAAAATCATTGCTGGTATCATGTAGTAAGTACTTTAGAAAAAAAACACTGGAAAACTAAACATAGGTGTGAATCTAACTGGCAGTGGGAAGCAACTCTCACAGCATGATTAGTTGTAGACAAGCAAAGGTTTGAAGAGACCTTAAGTCTTCAGAGATGGCAAGAAGGATTGCCCACAACAAGAACTCAAGTTACACTGCACTTCCATCTGCATTTATCTGCGTGGAGTGTGCTTCTCCTGTGTCTGTAAGACAGAAAGATCACTTATTTCATCTTCAGTGGAAGAATTAAAAACAGTGACTAAATGAGACATTGTGGTTCCTCCAGCTCTGTGATTAAACTGTTAAGCTGAACAAATAGCAAGTTTCATTCTGAAATGTGTTTATGTTGGTGTTAATAGCACATATAATCAAAGTCTGCTGACAAATTAAACTATGGGAAAAATAGGACAACAATTCTGACAATTCTGGCTAATCTCCCCAAAGACATTCCCAGAAAAAATACAGTGAAAGTACACATGGATGGCACCACTGACTACAAAGAGAAACTAAGTGTAATCGAGCGTCTATCTCAGCTGTGACAGGCTGTGCCACTTACCACCATGACACCTTGAGCAGTTTCCTTAATCCACCTGTGCTTCATTTTCCTCATTTGTTAATGGAGATAATGGGGTAGATCTCTCATTTAACTCTTTCTACTTAAACCCTTGCTATTGCAACGAAGGAATCAAATGGATTTGAATCTTTAGGTGATACAATTTGCTTTATTTAAGATCAAGCTTTTCATCATCATCCCAAGTGTGTGAACTAAACTAAATTCAGATAATGAAATCTTCCTGGCCTTCCAAAATCAAGTAACTCTGACCTCTCACCCCTGAATTCAGGAAGGGAAAATGTTTGGATTGGAAGGGATATGCATCTACACAGTTTTCTGAGGATTAAATGCCTTCAGATATGCAAATAATGCAGAACAGTGCTTGGAACATAAGTCTTTTTTCTGAACTCAACCTTTTGCTACAGGAAGCAGCTAAGACATAATTCTGCTAATGAATAAAGTCTGCTCTACTAGGAGGGGATTGAAAAACCAACAGAGGAACACTGGTACAAAGAATCCCACACACAAAAAAAAAAACTTTCAAAAAGTACAAATTAGACAATTCTGATTTTCTGGTGTAGAGGTTTCACTTCCCCACCACATCCCTGCTGCTGCCCCTGTGGAGAGAACCAGGCAAGGTCAGATGCTACCACACAGCTGAAAATCAGACCCCAGATGAGAGGAAAGTCACTAACTGAAGCAAAAAGGAGTGAGGCTAATCTAAGGTTGTAACAGCTGGATTTTCCTATTTGGAATTTTACTATTAGGATAAGGTAAGCATAACAGATTCGTGCGACCATGCCAAAGGTCATCTAGTCCACCTCTGTCCTTGAAATAAAAATGGATTTTACAGATGAGATAATATGTCTGAGCTCTCAGCTAATAAAGATGAATCTGGACCCCAGTGTGTCTAGAACTTTCACTGTACCCACTGCTTCCTAATTAAGAAAAATGGAGAAACTCTAAACGTGGGACTAATGACTTCATCTTGCTCCATTAAAATCATTTCTAAGGTCTTTCCTAACTCTCAAATCCTTTTCTGGTCTCTTGGGGAAAATGCGGTAAGCTCCAATCCATGTGGTTTGGAAGCTTTAACAGTTTTCTTCTAAATATAGTGATGCTAATATTTATATTTCTTAATTGTAGTAAATATTTTTTTGTTTTGTTTAAATAGAAGCTTCCTGACCAAGACAGGAAAGCTTTGGATAAATCAAATTCTTCTGCTCTGAGGGAAATGCATGGACTTGACATTAGTCATTGGACCTTAGTTTCATTAGTGTAAAATATTGACCTCATTGAACTGTAGTTCCGAGTGACACTGTAAATTTGCCTGAAATTGCCTGGGCTGTAAGATAATTGAAACCTCAGCAGACCAGGCCATGCGACACGAAAATTGCAGGAGATGAACTAGCCTTTGGACAGAAAATGCAACACATGCCTTTGTTGTTTCTTCCTTTTTCCTCTCAGAAGTCCATTTATTTAGATCCATTTTCTTCAAGTGCTTTTAAGAGTTAGCAGCAGTGAAAAATTTAACCTCTCATTTTCTGATCTTGAGACTGTGATGCTGATGCAATATTTCGATTTTCAACTTTCTGTCCTAAAAGGCAATTTGTTTTTTGAAATTCAGTTCTATAAAAAAAGCTGACTCGTTCCTCCCTCTAATAAAAAAGGTCTAAAAGAGAGAGAAATCCTAGCAATCAATTGAACAGAAATGAGTTGGAGAAATAGCCTTTCCCTGAGGACATAAGGGAAATGCCATGAAGGTAAGGTGGTGCATTAAAGGAATCATTGAGATAATTTATTTTTTCCCTTTACTATGTTTTCTTAACCTTCAAAAGCATTGCATAGTTTCAGTGTAATGTAAGATAAATGATAGGAAATGAATGCTGTTAGTATCAGATTTTTGTACCCACATTCTCTCTTTTGTGGGATTTCTGGAGACCTAAGAGAAAAACCAATTTTTCCTTCTGATAATGATTCCTGTGCCGTCATAGGATGCACAGTATTCCCAAGAGATAGTAGACAGCAGTCTAAGATTCAATTGTGTAACAGGATGTGTTCAGCAGCCTAAGAGTCAATTGCGTAGGATGAGTCAATGAGGAGAAAATCAACAGAATAGCACTGAGCCTTCAAAATGTACTGGACTTTGGAATCTGTCCCTATGCTGAGACTGCTTCTCCCATGTTTGTTATTTGGATCTGAGTCCAGTTACTAAACAGATATGTCTAGTCTTCAGTGTCTTTGCCTGTTAAAAGTTGATGTTAATACTATCAAGGGTTGTAACAAGGTTTAAAAGAAGCAATGAGTGTTTATATATTACATGTCTAGTGTCTTTTTTTTTAAAGTTTAAAGTGTCTTACAAAGGTAAAGATGCAGTAAAATACAAGTTTATTTATTTTTTAAAATATATTTTATTGATTTTCCACAGAGAGGAAGGGAGAAGGATAGAAAGCTAGAAATGTCAATGAGAGAGAAACATCGATCAGCTGCCTTCTGCACACCGCCTACTGGAGATGCACCCACAACCAATGTACTTGCCCTTGACCGGAATCGAACCCGGGACCCTTTAGTCCCCAGACTGACACTCTATCCACTGAGCCAAACCGGTTTTGGCAGTAAAATATAAGTTTAAAAAATGAACTGAAATAAGGAAGATAAAGGTAGAAAGTAGGCTATGACTGAACACAGTTTGTACAAAAGTCATGCATCATACTAGCTGTACATGGAATTATATTTGAACAGTGCTATACAACCAGAGGTGATTTTGTTCCTCAGACATTTGACAATGTGTGTAGACATCTGGGTTGTCACACTGGGGGAGAAGACACACTCCATAATGAAGAATTACCTAGCCCAGGTGTCAGGATGGGAAAGTCTGCCAGACAACATGCTAATAACGCTCTTACACTTGCATTCCCCGGCATTGACTGTTACAGACTTTGGAAGAGGGAGGTGATTCTGAGGACTAAAGCTACCCCAGAAGCTTCTAGAGAGTAAACAGAACTTGAGCTGAGCTGTGAAGAATCCAGAGAAGTAAAAGACATGAAGGGCAAAGGAATGGGTAAAAACAAGTCAGGACAGAAGAGAAGGAATGCCACTCATTTCAGGATGACAGGTTGAGCCCTTTCTTAGTAGCCCCCAACCAATAGGAACCTAAATATAGCCTTTAAAAAAAAAAAGATCTAACACTACATAGTCAAAAAAATCATTGTAAGAATTGGGCTCATTAGTGGATCAGATATTGGTTTATTTTTTTTAATTCTCACCTGAGAATATTTTTCCCATTGATTTTTAGAGAGAGGGAAAGACAGAAATACATCAATTGGTTGTCTCCTGCGTGATCCCTGACCAGGGCCAGGACTGGAAAGGAGCCTAAAACTGAGATACATGCCCTTGACTAAAATCAAACCCGGGACCCTTTGGGTCCCCAGGCCAGTGCTCTGTCTATTGAGCCAAATTGGCTAGGGCCGGATACTGGTTGAATTTAACAAAGGAGGAGAGAAGCAAATCGGAAGATAGAATGATAATTGGAAGCCCACGTGTGTAAGAAAATCCTGTCATAGAAGATGAACACATCTTACCAAACATTTGGTCAAGATAAGGATGAAAATAAATGAGGTACGTTGCAGGATTTTTGCTTTAAAAGAACACTTGTGTAAAGCATTAATCCTCTCTTGTGAGATCATGGACCATGGACCCTTTTGAGATAGATAAAAACTATGGCTTCTTTCCCAGGAAATAATGCACATGCTCATATTAAACTTTGCATAAAATCTCAGCATGGTCTTGGAGATTGACAAGCCCCAGCACAGTAAAACATACTCCTGTGTGCATAGCGCCTTTTCTCCCAGCCAATTAGCTATTCCAAAGTGCAGATATTTTCCCTGTGTTCCTTCAGCTGCAGGCTGGGAGGAACCATTGGGAAGTCTTGGCAGGTGGGATTTGAGGGAGCCATTTCCAGGTATAATCCCAGGCTTGATCAGACCCTGTTTGGAAACAGCTTCCCATTTGTTCTCTGAGTCTTAGTGGCTCTCAGTGCCTAGCCCCTTGTGTTAGTTTCTTCTGGGTTGGGATCTAATCTCACTCCTGCTGTCACCATCACTAAAGTAGGATTCTGACTAGTAAAATTCTGCCTGGTTACTATAGTCCTTCCACCAGTGAAGCAAACTCTGATGTCCATTGCCTGCCCACAGGACTGTTCATTTTGTGCAGCCCCCAGGCTCCCGTCACTGAGCTCCTGCCATCCACAGAAGCAACACCAGTATTTCTCCCAGCTTGAACCTCCTGCTGCCTCCTGACCTGGACCGTCCACTGCAGCAGTTTCACCCAGAAGTCCTCTCTATCTGCCAAATTACTTAGTTTTGCACCCAATTCTGTTTTTATTGGTCATAATAATAATTGCAGATTTGTCAAGGGCTTACTTTAACCCAGGTGGTGTGGTGAGCCTCCTTCACTTCCTTGTAAAGATCCTGTCTTACAGCGAAGGAATCAGAGCACTGAAGTAACTTGCCCCAAATCACACAGCTCATCCATTTACTTGAGATTTGAACCCAGGCAGGTCCTTTTGTTCTAGAATGGCAGTTCTTCACTGTACTCCCTGCCTCAAGATGTTCTTCCTGTATCTTCCCCAGGTTGGTTTTTCAGGACCTGGTCCCTTTTGTTGTCCCTCTGTTTTTGCAGGTAATTATCATACTTTGCACAGTTGCTGGGAGATAAGAAGATGCCTTCATCATTTAAATCAGGATGAATAAAAGAAGGGTGGTCTCAGAGAGAGAGGTTGAGTCAGGAGGGGAACAGTAAGAGAGGGATGATGACATACTCTGTTTTAAACATTGCATTTCAGCTGACCAATGCAAACACACTAAAAGCTACTTTCAACAAGCGTCTCACCAGAAATGTGATAGGATTCTTAGGAAGGATTTGGAAAATGTAATGTTTAGCAGTTTTACAACAATTGCTATAAGCTCAAGTGGAAGATAGTTTCTGGCAAGGTACTGGGCCCTCCCAGGGAGAGTGGATTATTTTACTTTGTGTGCAATGGCAAGGAAGGTATTAACGATAGTTACCTTCCTTCCAATATAAAAACAAAAGAAGAAAGATGACTGAGGCCTCCTCTGTTGTATTTCAAGAACCTCGGCATGCTGGTAGAAAGCCATTCACTCAGGGTAGGTTCACAGGACACATACATTCAGGTTCACAGAAAATTTAAGGTTGACCTGGGCACTCAACAATCTCTTTCTATATATTTGAGTGGCCCACCTCTTGGGCTTTTGAAGTTTGGAATAATAAAAGAATAAAAAAGAAAGAGGCCCTGTAGTTTTTGCATGTGTTTTCAGGGACTTCAGCTCAGAGCCCTTTAGCATGAAGAGTGCTGTCTTGGGCAAGCATCCAGAAAACATCGCTTAAGGGGGAGCCTTCTGTTTTTGTTTTGGAACAAATCTGCAATTAATCAAAGCATTATTTACAGTTATAATAAGTTGGAAACACCCTAGAAGTCCAATAAATAGGAAACAGATTATTTATTGTATACAAACTTGACAATATATTATATTGTATAATATTAAAAATAACTATGCTGCCAATATAACCACATTAAGAAATGTTTATATTATGTAGAAAATGGATGCCATGTTTTGTTATGTAATAAGCAAATGGACATGTAAGCACCAGGAGGATTATGAATAACCAGGCAAGTGGTTTTTTTTATAACAGCTCTTTTATAAATAACAGAAAATGTAATCAAAATATGCATAACCAAGAAGCCCTCAAATATGCTCCAGTCTCCCCCATCAAAAAGCCATCAACTTTTTCCTTTTACTGGAAATATGAGGTTACTTTTTTTCCTTCTTTCAACAGCCAAGCTTCTTCAAAGAAGTTTCCTTTACCTTCCAGCTTTGTGTTTTTCCCGCTATCTATTGAAATCTGCCTGCGCCAAATCGCTTCTTTGAAATTGTTCACATCAAGGTAAGCAAAGTTCACCTCGTTGCTAAAAGCAGTTTTCAGTCATCTCACCATATGATATTTGGTCATACCTCCCTGAACCTTGCAATTCCCAGCTTTTCAAATCTCTATTTCTTTATAGTTCTTTTCAGGTTCCTGGTACTTCACCCACTTCTTAATTTTTTGTTCTTCCAGCTTCATTACCAATTCCCCTTTCTCATTTCTATACACTGTTTCTGTTGAACCTTTTCACAGTCAGTATATTTTGTCTATGTTCTGGTGAATCCCAAATCTAGCCTTCATCTCCAGAGCTCATAAATAAGTTACCTATTGTAGCATAACAAATTTCTCTAAAACTTAATGATTTAAACCACACACACTTATTATCTTTCAATTGCTGTAGGCCAGGAATCTGAGCACAATTTCACTGGATTCTTTGTTGCATGACCTCTCAAAGTAGGCATGCATCAGGTATTCACCCATGATTTTCAGTCTCATCTGAAGGCTCCACTGGGGAAGGTCACTCACAGATTACAGGCAGTATTTAGGTTCTTGGATTGAGGCCACCCTCAGTGCCTTAGCATATGAGCCCCTCCAATGTGACAGCTCACTTCATCTAAGTGTGCAAGCTGTGAAAGCAATAGTCAGAGTGTACTAGTAAGATAGAATTCACAGTCTTTATAACTTAATCCTGGAAGAGATATATGCTCAGTGATCCCATATTCTATTCTCCAGAAGAAAATTAGTCAAGGAGAGAATATTATAGAAAGACTAAATATCAGAAGATGGGATCATTGAAGCCATCCTAAAGATGCCTATCACCTCAGCCAGTGTGGCTCAGTGGTTGAGTGTTAACTATGAACCAGGAGGTCATAGTTTGATTCCCAGTCAGGGTGCATGCCTGGCTTGCATGTTCGATCCCCAGTGTGGACTGTGCAGGAGGCAGCCCATCAATTATTCTCTCTCATCATGGATGCTTCTCTCTCTCTCTCTCTCTCTCTCTCTCTCTCTCTCTCTCTCTCTCTCTCTCTCTCTCTCTTTCTCCTCTGAAATAAATAAAAATGTATTTTTTAAAAAAGATGCCTATGATAACTCTAAATAGCTATCTCACCTCCAACTTATCCATAGATGTACAATCCATTAGCAAGTGCAAAATGTACTCATCTGAATACATCATCTTTTTCCCATCCCCAAAGCATGCTCATTTTCATCCTCTAAGTTAATGGCATCAACACACACCCAGTTTCTTAATCAGAAATGTAGATGTTATCATTGATTTATTTTTCCTTCTCAGCCACAACATTCAATTAGTCATGACCTCCTACCAATCTGATTTCTAAGTATCTATGAAATCTGTCATTCTGCACGTGCCTGTCTTAAGCTATCATGATCTGTAACTTGTATGACTGCTATAGCCTCCCAACATACCTTTCCACTTCCAGCCTTTCCCTCTCCCAATCCTCACCAAAGCAGTGGTGACAGATGTCACATCCCTGCTTATAATCTGTAATGAATCTCCATAGTTCAGGAATATTTCAAGGTGGACAGGCTAGTAATATGGAAATTAACATTCCATAAACCTGTGGTTTTCATAATGCAGGCTACAAAAATTTTAACTCTGCATAATCTTCATGATTGGGAGGGAAAACATGAAAGTTGAAAGGCAGACGTTATGAGGGGGATATCTTTCTATTTGAATAATATCCAAACTCATTGATAGGAGGTAAGTGGTTTAGTCTGGTGTCTCAAACATGGGGGATGTAAAGTTAAAACAGTTGTATTCATTTGTAGTAATGGCTGTGAATTGCTTTTTTAAAAAAATAATTTTTATTGATATCAGAGAGGGAGAAAGAGATAGAAACATTAATGATAAGAGATGTTAAGATAAAAGAATTGATTGGCTGCCTCCTGCATGCTTCCCACTGGGGAAGGAGCCCACAACCTGGGCATGTTCCCTAACTGGAAATCGGACTGTGCTGTCCCAGTTCAAAGTTGGATGCTCAATTCCTGAGCTATACTAGCTGTCAATTGTTCTTTATAATGTCATCTTTTTGAAAGCATGAATCCCTTGAAGATATTTCAGTTCTAGCATATAACTTTCCAGGCATTTTCATTTATTAAAAGTTTCATACTGGTTCTAAGGAACTCAGACCTATTGATTCTGAC